GAGCTGGCGTCACTGGATTTGGACACTGTTGTCACTGAATATCCTTCATGTCGAGGTGAAGTAGGAAGAATTTAAACAGGAATTTTTTAACTGTTATACTTGAACAGTGGCTCGGCGACTTCTAGATTCTTCCTACATGCTGAGTAGTAGAATCGACAAAACTCAGCCACTCCTCAAAAGTTAAACTTTAATGCAAGAGCAGAGCTTCCAGTGCCATAGCAGGAGGCATTCTCGTGCATTCTTCATAATTTAAACACATCTGATTTCTCTTATATATATATATATATATATATCTATATTTTCACTTGCTCAAATTGGCGTATCTATACATGGATACACACATACTACATACATTCTAAACTTGCATAAGATTGTCATGGATTCTACAGCCTCGATTTTCATGTATGACTGTGTCTATATATGTATACATACACACAAAGTGTGGCAACAATCCAACTGGGTCCATTGTTTCCAAAAACCTAATTAATTAATTCAATCAATTGACCATGTATATGAACATAGAATTGTTACAAAAAAAAAAAAAAAAAAAAAACAATTATATTATATACAAATATCCACAACGTTACAATAATAAAATTTACAGCAGTAGACCAAAAAAGAAAAAAAAAAAAAAAAAAAAAACTAAAAAGAAAAAACTAAAAAGAAAACCCAAGAAATTATTTTGATATTGAGATTTTATTTTTATTATTGAGACGTGCTTAACACCATGTGAAATTGAGAAACCATTCCTTTCATGGAGGTGCATTGAATTTTATGATTGAGTTGTTCAGAATGAATGACAGTTAAAATGACATTATGCATGTGTCACATGTGCTGTGTCTGCCATTCATCCACCTATCCACCCCAGTTAGTCCCTAGTTTAAATTTTTAATTAATTTCTCTATGATGAGTACAGCCATACACAGCGACAAAGGATCAGCCACTGCTCACGACCCAATGGGCAATATCCCACCAGTGGAGTTACTAGTAAAAGAAAGAGGGGAACCCCCACCCCCCACATAGCTCTGCTCTGCTTTGTCAGACAAACCCAGTTCAATTCTGGATGGATATTTTATTGATCCTTTTTTCTGTGTTGGTCTCATATCCCAAAGGGAGTGGGTGCAGGAGCTGAGCCCACAAAGGAGGGGATGGATATGCAGCAGAAGAAGAAGCAGAGGCAGAGGCAGAGTGGGGGAGAAAGTGGGAGGAAGCAAAGCAACACTGGCACTACTGGCTTTGGCATTGCTCAGAAAAACCCACAACAAAAACAAAAACAAAACAGAGAGTGAGTGGGTGAGTGTAGGTAAACTCAGGCTGGCAGCAAAGCATCTCATGAACAGGGCAGCAGTAGCAGTCTACATAATACTAAGAACTAGAAGTAGAAGAATTAAAATTAAAAAAACCAAGGAGTATAATAGTAGCATAAAGCAAGGCCACATGTTTGAGCAAGAGGGGCAGCATCAGCTCTACACTGCCTGGGAGACCTTTAAGTTACATCCACACTCACTCACTCACAAACAGGGGTCCTCAAGATAAACAAATAAACAAAAAGGGCAATAATAAAACTGAATCAAAGGTGGGAGGGGGCAGAAAGTCATAGTAGAGAGGGGTTCTTTGGGGTGCTCAACTTGTCAGTAAATAAAAGGGGCTTTGCTGAAATCTTGGAAACACCCATGAACTGTGGGCATACCAGATCTTCTGAACCCTTGCTCCAGCAGCATCACAGTGGGTATCTATCTATCTATCTATCTACCTACTTATCTATGTGACTGTGTGTGTGTGTGTGTGTGAGTGAGTGACAATCCTGCTTGCACAATCTCACTACCAATATCATGCAATAATGTTGTGGTGCAGTGCTCATTTCAGTATCAAGTGGGTTGATTTGTCTTCCCCCTCCCTCTCTCTCCCATTATCTCTCATCTTATCATTTGTTGCCTTGAATTTTTAATTGAAAGATCAATTAATGATGTGATTGCATGTACAATATTTTTTCTTTGATAGACATGGTTTTTTATTTTTTTAAAAAGTGAGGTTTTGTAAAAATGGGTGGTATTGCTAACCTTAACAAGCATAATGTTTCAGGTAGTGGTTTTCTATGTTTCAACTGTTCTTTGCCAAATTTCTTACTGCCTTAATATATACATATATATATATATATATATATATATGTTTGAACTAATAATCAATTATCAACCTTTTGTTTGAGGAAAAATTCTAACTCCATCAAAACTCATAGGTAATAATAAGTATATCTGGCTCTTTGGGTATGGAATTGTTACAAAAAAAAAAAGAAAAGAAAAAAAAGAAGTGTTTTTAGTGTATCACTTTTATCATACACTGGTAAAAGATATCCCAAAGTCATAAAGAAAAAGATGAGTGGCAATGTTAAATATTTTACAAAGATTATCCTATTTGCATCAAGCTTGATTAGTTTTTGATACAATGTCTAGTCCTTGGAATTCTCCATATCTACTACTCCTAAGTACCAATGGGGTCCTCTGAAATTAATTTGGTTATTTAGAGAACAGTGCAAGGAGTGTGTAATGCAAAATCCAAACCATGGCACTTAGTCAATTATTTATGCCAATTGCAATTTTCCCAAAAAGAAGACTTGCATGTTATAAAGCCTTTGCAGTATTAAAAAAAAAGACTGCGTTTTGAATATTATCCAATTAATAGACTCAACTTATTGGATATTTGTATTAAAAAAAAACCCCCAGTATATAATAATAATTATAACATTATTTTAAGATTTTTTTTTTTTTTTTTTTTTTTTTTTCTTATTTTCTTGTTTTGAGCTTTTAGGAGGGTGTGGAACATACTGATGGGTTGAAACACTGTTTTAAGAGAGGTAAAATCACAACCATGTCAAAATTTGGAAAACAATGTTTTTTGCATCCACTTAGAGACGAAGGCAATAAAATAAATGTATATATTGCATTGAAGAAATTTTTATAAGATTTATAAGATTTGAGGAATAAACAAGCCACAATTTTTTTGTCAACTATTAAAATTTCATGAAAGTCTTGTAGATCCAAACAAAGCATGTCACACTTTGCAACAATGAAACACAATGCATGTATATATTTCTTTCCTCTACTACTTGCTCTGCCTTGAACTCGAGAAATAAAGAGCAAATGCACATGGAACCTAAATTCTCATTTAGTTAATGCATCCAGTATACTCCACTTTTGGCCAAAAAATGGAAACAAGGAGTAGAAGGGAAGTATCACCATTTTCATGATTACCACCAAAAAAGCAATAAAAGATCTTCTAGCACTGATGAGGTACTAATCTCATCTGTTTCCTGCATCTTCTAGTATAGCATTCAAAAAGCAGAGATGGGGTGGAAAACACTGAAGCAAGTAAGCAATCAAAGCAAAGCAAAGGGGAACCAGCAGCAATAGCAGCAGGGTGCAGACAGTCTGCAGCAGCCATGGTGAAAACTAGGTGGGGGAGTAGTAGGGCGAAAAAGGAGCTGTGGGGGTGGGTTCCATGAGAGTCATGTGGAGGCAGTGTGCCATGCTGGCTTTGCACCTAGCTCCTGATGCAGGCATTTAGGGCAACAAGCTCGGGCCATCACTGACATGCACACAATTCCTATTTCCAAATCAGGTCCCCCCCCTCCCCCCCATCACAGTCCAGCGTTCATGACAGTTAATTTTGGCAAGATAAATCATCTTAAATTGTCCAGGGATCTTGTGCACTGATTCTGTCTTGTAAAGGCACTTGCCGAATAGTCTCCACGTTCGTACCACATGGATCAGGCGTAGCCATACTCTATCTTTCTTTCTTTGTCTCTCTCTTTCCGTCTACCTTTTTCTATATATCTCCTCCTTCTCCACTTGATTTTACTGTTTCCCTGGAAGCCAGGAAGCTGTAAAAATAATAGAAATAATGTAAACATAATAGTTGTGAGTTGTTATGGATGTGGGTACTGGTTCACAAGGGCTTTGGGTACCAGTACAGACTGCATCACCGTTGCCGATTTTCCACACAGTTATGATCAACTGTTTCGCGAAGTAAGTCGTGCTGTGCTTGTGTTCCCAAATGACTAAACTTCTAAAACTGTTTATAACATTTATAAAAAAATACGGCAAGAATATAGTTCGTTGGGGAGGAATGGATAAGCCATCCCCCAAGTAATTGAATGACTTACACGTGACAGGTCAATCGAAGGTTTGGAGAACGTTACCGAGTGGCATTGGCTGATGCATTCTGTGGCATATGAAGGTTTCACAGCTTCGCTGATCAAGGGCGGTGAAGGGAGGCGACTGGGATCCTGATTGTTGGGTGTGACCACTAGAAAACTTGGCGCAATCCAGACGTGACATCTCCAGAGTTAAACCAGTTCCAGGCATCATCTAGCCAGATTGTCTCATTTGATCGAAGGAGAAAATGTTAACTATTTTCAGCAATTCGATCTGCGAATTTGCAGAAAGATGATTTTTTTCCCTTTTCTTTTTCGATCTCGGAGAGTTTCGGGCTACCGGCTACAAGAAAAAGGAATTGTTTGGAGAGGTTTTACAGTTACTGCGGAGCAGAATGTAAATGCGAAATTCTGGAGAATGACTGCGGTCACTAATGAGTCTAGTTGTCGAGCAAGATGCCGCCTCGGGGGGCCCCGAGGGTCCCTGGGAATTGTCAAAGATCAATCATGTGTTGAGCCGTTGGCGGGCTCCCACTTCAAGGGTTTGTTTACAGCAGGACTGCAGGTTTAATATAAGCTGGCGTAGCCATCAAGACATAGGCAGGATGATGAGAGTGGCGGTAGGTAAAGTAGTCCTAGTAATAATCTAGTACTTGCGCCACTGAATGATGAACCTTAGTGATACCCAGTATGAGAAAATAACTGCCGAGCACACTGTGAACTTCGCAGCGAAGGGCAAACATGGGTAGCTTGGAAGTCAAAGTGGGGAAGGGAAAAAGTTGTGCATAGAAACTGGGAGGGAAAACGCCAAAGAGGCGCATCACTGAGGCGTCACTTGCTCAGCGCTATTAAACTGAGCTCTCCCTCCCCTTCCTCAGCCAGTTTCGGTCTGTCCCACAGCTTTCCCCCGTGACATCGCTCACAATTAGTTGGGGCCCTTCTCAGTGCCGAAGGAGATGGATTTTCAGTTCGATGTAGCCGGCTGCTGCTGCTCTAATTGTTCCTCTTTAGGATTCCATTCCCCTGAGTGTATTGGTTGGTAACATGCTGGTTGAGTGTACATCTAATTCGTCGGTATATATACATCTATTTTATGTGTCGAGGACTCTGTTCCCTGTGTACAGTGTGGTGTGAATAGATTGAATTGTCCGTGAATCGTTCTGTTGTAGTCTAGGCCGATAGCTGAATAGCGGGTTTTACCTCTTCTGATAGACAGGCGTTGTAGGAGTTTGCCAGGGACGACATTAAGAGTTCTGGAATAGGGTAGTTGTGTTCTTCCTTCCCAGTTGGATCTTTTCGCGGTGGCTAGACCACACACCGACTTGTAGGATATCCCGATCGCCGTGTGCAGGGTCCTAGCCCTTCAGACGATTTGCTGCAGCGGCGCATCACTCACATTGCGATGCCCTCAACTCCCGTCAGCATCCGGATTCACCAGACTTAGAGTCGATGCTGCATTGACTCTTCAACTCTACATACATCTGTGGCTGATTTGTAGCCTTTTGTCTACGCAGCTGTGCTCACTCATCAACTCTTCATATGTGCTCTCTCTCTTCACTGTCAAGACCTCGCTTTCGGTCAGCTGCATGTCAGACTGCTTGAAGGCCGAGGAGAACATCTCTAACGCGGTCGCTTCTTGTACCCATCAAAAGCTTCATTAAGCTGCTGTCGACAGGGGCACTGCACCCTCACTCGTGATCACTCTCTTCTGTCAATCCGCTGACTTGGACCTGTCGATACTTGCCCCTACTCTTTTCCTGTTGGAGGGTGGTGTCCGGATCTCAGGAGCACGAAGTTACATCCACAAACCCGTTCGCTCCAATTTAGACTTCACGTGAGTCAACTTCTCCCTCACCCAATAGTCTCAGGATCATAATACTGTTTGCATGTTCAATTTGTGAAAATCTTGGGCGATGTGACTTGTTCCACGACGCTCCAAATCTAGTATTTTCCCCCATCGAATTGTTGATCCAACCTATCTATGTTTATCTTGGGTGTGTTACTTTCGGTTTCTGTTTATTGAAGAGCGAGTGGTTATCATGCCCAGCAACTACCTATTTTACCGACCGAATGGCTGTGTACGTGTGCAGTGACCAAAGTAGATTGAATCAATCCGTGCATCGATTCACAGGAGCACTGACCTGATCTATGCGACGGTGCGAGAAAAATCATCCCAGCGTGGTGCTACGCTAGTCACCTAGTCATCAGCATCGGTGCTACGTAAACTTATGGCAATGGTGCGTTCCTATCAGTGCGTCACTTCAAGGAAGCCCTTCCCAAGTCTTCATCCGGCCCGCTACCTTTGCGTAGCTGCTTCACTGGAGGCCTGGGTGGAGACTGGCGGACAGCTTTGCGATGTTACGGTTGTAGCCAATTCTTGTTGCACTTAGATTTCCACTGGGCGTTATCCCTCTTGAGCTGAGAAGACAAGGGCTCCCTCCTAGGGGGCGAAAATAGGTGAGCTGGGGTCACCTTGTTAGCGGGGTGTTAAGCATTTGAATGCAACACTCCTACGCAAGACCCTAGCTATGGCTCCATAGGGTGTGATGAGTGCTTCATCCGGTGCTCTTCTACTGCCTTGCCCACCTACCCTTGTGATATGGGCCGCGCGTGTCTGCGTGTCTCCTGTATCGGTTGTATATCACTCCTGAGCTACGGGTGTGCAATTCCCATGTCTTTTGGGAATAGGCGTCAAGACTAGAGGTAGTTTTGTTGTCTTAGCCGGCCACAGGCGGCGGTGATAAAACCTGCAGTTGATGTAATGGAGTCACATACTGAATCCACTTGACTGGCTGTGGCTGAAATAAAAACATTTTCCACATTGATCTCATCTTGACTCTCGTAATCAAGTTTCAAGGGCCCGTGTTTCACTTCCAATTCGTGCAACCCTACCGCACCAAACCTAGAATACATATAAACTGTCTTCTCTTTCGCACAACTATGTCATACCCGGTTCTTAAAACACAGGGTTGAAATCGGTTTAAAGTGCCATCCGACTGAACCAACCAAGCCCGACATTATTTAGCCCCAAGCTCCATGCTTCCGATACTTATCCTAGGAAGAAATACCCGTCGACACTGTTCCAGAGTCCGTAAAATCATCACCTCTCCAATGCGGTCCAATCAAACTAGCACATCCAGAGATTGTTTCAGTTTCTCACGAAGCGCTGAACCGTGCCGAACTGGAGAATTATCTATTCAGTGCTTCCCTCGTGAGTCTTTTACTAGCTGCAGCTAATGCATACTGCGTGTGCATCAATTTGCATGTGTCTACAAAGAAAAGGTGGAGGCACCAACACACCAGTTTTGCTATGCCGAGGCACCAGTTCTGCATTGGATAGAGAGGGTGAGGATCTCGACGTGAGTACTCCTGCATCATTGCCGTCATTATCATTATCTGCTGTGAAGAAGCTGATGTTTGTTTTGTTTGTTTGTTCGCATGTGGAAAGGCCCTCAACAGAGTGCGAGTTGTCAGAGCTACGAGACTCGACTCGACTCGACTCTCATTAATATCAAGAGGTGCTAGGAATATGTACTCTCTCTTTATAAGATGACCAGCACAGCCATTTTGCTCATGTGTGTTGTGCAGGACGAACACTTCATTATTGAAAGCTTGAACAAAACAGGGCGTTGAACACGGTATCAATGTATGTGAAATACTGAGGCACTGGGTGATTTTATTGTTATATATATATATATATATATGTGTGTATATATTCACAAAACCATTCAAGGTTTAAAGTTATTTTATTTTATATATATATATATATATATATATAATTTAAACATGATGTTTGATATGATTGTTTATTAGTTGAATAAATACCAATTTATCATAGTTTTTTCATTTATTTCAAAAACCAGCCAAAAATTTCTTACAACACAAAAAAATAATTCAGATTGTTCAAGATACACACAATTTTGGGCATTATATACATATATATATATATATATATATATACATATTATTATTATTATTATTATTATGTATATTGCTAATGCCACCACAACCCCTCATCCACTCTAGATTGTTTTGTTTTTTTTTGGTTTTTTTTTAATATTTTATAAATTTCAATCATTTTTTTGATTTGAATAGTACTCACATTGTGTAATTTATCCATATTGTGTTTGATTGAAATAATAATAATAATAATAAAACCAAATAAATATGTCAAATGGATGGTGGGTTGTGGTGACACTAACAAAAACTGTGAAGACATTGATTTCATTTGAACAAATTTACTTCATCTCACAAAGTTTTTGAAGGATAGATTTGAACAGAAACCTGATTTTGAAATGATAGTTTTTGAGTAAATTTTATATTTAGTCACAATATGGAGCTTTAATTTCTTCACATGCAACCAATTAATTGGATTCTACTTAATAACTACTTAAATTGAAGTTATGTTGTGTGATGTTCACTTCCAACAGAACACGTTTGTTACCTGTAAAAATTACAATTTTGCACAAAACATTTAGAAAAAATTAATCATACATACTCTCATTCACGTACAGTAAAGGTCATTTTTAAGAACAAGATTAAATTAAGGGCTGAAATAAAACTATCTACCATACTAAAAATGGAGAATTTCTTTTGGATGAAGATGTTACATCATTAAATATAATTATACATCCAAGCATCTTGTTCTTGAAATTATATAAATGTAGTGAAAAACCATTTTTTTGGAATTGCAAAATCAGAAATAGATTCTTGGTTTTGAAAATTCCACAAACAAAGTGTAAGAGTTTATTGATAATGTTTTATTTATTTGAAAACCCCAAATACGTCTATATATATATATATATATATATATATATGTATAAATTAATTAAAAATATTTTGAGGTTATAACTAACACTAATGCTACTTTACATATTCAATCAAACAAAACTGTTTTTTTGAAATTTGAATTACAAAAAATACGAAGTCTTTTGATGAACTTTATCTTTATAAATTTCACCATCACATATTGTAAAGTTGGTATTAATTTTTACTTGAGTGTTAGTAAATAGTATAGACCAATCCAAATAAGATAAAGTAACAAGTATTAAAGTTTATTTTGAAGTTGATCAAAAAAACTTAATTTAATGCTAGTGAAAATATATACAAATTAATCAAATTCCAAAAGTAACCTCATGATTTAGATGATAAATAAATTGCAATATTTTATCTTTATAAAGATATTTATTTTATTTATTTCAAAACAAATATCATCTAATGATTCAATCTAAATATTTTGTGTTCATTTGAATTTTTTTAATCACATACATGTATGTAAATAAATAAAAACGAGTAAATTTATTCATTCATTCATTGAAATTCAGCCATATAAAAAAGAAATCTTATTTGCAATGGCGTTGAAAGTATTTATGAAACCTAGTTATTCAACACATGGCATCAACCAATTTTTTGTTTTGAGGCAGTTCATTTCGTCAGCTCCTTTTGTTTGCCGTCAAAGAAATGATACAATGAAACGATTTCTTTGTCACAATGCCCCACCAGTACTAGATGCCTTCGCATGCTGATCGACGTCGTGAGAACTTGATCCAGCACTGGGTTCTACACAAAAGCGCTTGTTATTTTTCTAGACGCCATGTACAATTACGTCAACCCACGGAACGCATGACACTACCTGTCCGGCCCCAACAGCGGCCATGCAGCAACATCTGAGGTGTAGCGGACAACACCTCCTCCATCGTGTTTCGTTGCAGAGGGTGCCTATCGCTGTTTAGAACTTCGTACGCTGCGAAGGCGCCGGAGATTTGCTTCAGTCGCATTTATTAGTTGGGAAAGTCTTAGGCCGTAATGTGGAAATCAAGCTAGAAGTCGGCTGTGACTCGCTACGTGATGTCTTGTCTGGGAAGACATCAGTGGAATGTTGTCGCCGGAATGTAGAGTTTGAAGCATTCCTGAGTTGTGATACTGCCGGAAGGAATTTACCTGCGATGGCTCTGCACGTCCCCTTGTGGAGTGTTGATAAATGGGTGAGGCTCGCGGACCAGGACTCCATCGAAATCTCCTATGTCGGTTATATTTTAGGTTTTGTCCTGTCGTGAGCTGATCTCTGATCAGTGACGAAGCAGAATCAAGTTTGCAATTGACTGATTGCTGTGAGATTTTTAGAAACGATCCAATCACTAGTTTTTTGAGGCATATAGGAATCGGCTAATACTCCCGTAAAGGGTTTGTGGGATTGGATTGAAGTTCGAGATGGCTCTGCTAGCGCGAGCTGCATCCTTCCCACCCTTCCCACGAGGTCGCGCGGGGAAGAGGATCACCATTTTGAGTATTGATGGTGGAGGTGTGCGAGGAGTGATTCCGTCGACCGATCGTTTAGGGCCCTAAACGATCCAATCACTAGTTTTTTGCCAAGCAAGTCACGCAAATCTACCTGCAAGAGGCTCCCATCATATTCTCCCCCTTGAAATATGATTTCTGTGGGCTTTGCGAAGCGTGGCGCATGATCATGGGGCCACGCTACAGCGGGGTTGGACTGGTTGACATAGTGACCCGCCTCTTAGGCGACGTGCGCCTCAAGGATACGGTTACGAACGTGGTCATTCCAGCCTTCGACATCTGCAATCAGCAGCCGGTCTTCTTCTCTAGCGCACGCGCGAAGAGGGACTCCTTGGGGGATCCAACTCTAGCTCAGGTGTGTCAGGGCTCATCCGCGGCGCCGACGTATCTCCCTGCAGTGAAATTCACAACCTCCAATGACGCGACTGGGGAAACTCGCCACTTTCATTTGGTGGACGGTGGCGTGGTCTGCAACAATCCCACCACTGTGGCCATCACGCAAGCAATCAAGGATTTGGAACCTGGAAATACAGCAAACTCTGGGAGAGCTATCTGGACTGGCTTCAAGGACTTTCTGGTGCTCTCGCTCGGGACTGGGGAAATGCCAGTGAGTTACGACGCCATGGAAGCTGCACACTGGGGCCTAATAAGATGGTTTCGCAACCGCGGGGATGGATCCGTTCCACTGATCGAGATTTTCTCCAATGGGAGTGGTGATATGGTGGACTACAACTTGGGTCTAGTGTTCGGCAGGGATGAATCCTCTCAGAACTATCTCCGGATTCAAACCGATGCCTTGGACGGGGAGATAAGCTCTCTGGACAACGCCTCGGAGACAAACATGCAAGAGCTGGTGGCGATTGCCAAGGGCTTGTTGATGAAGCCAGCAACAACACGCAACCTGGAGACGGGGAAGTTGGAGCCTTGCTCGGATCTGAGCACGAATGCAGAGCGACTGCTGAGATTTGCGTTGTGGCTGTCGTACGAGAGGAGGTCGAGAATTCGGGATGGCATGCTTCACCAGGTGTAATTTGCAGAGACGACTTATTGCTTTCATCTCCAACATACAAAATATATATACGTTTTTTGAATAGTTCAAATTTGAACCACAGAGATGTTTTGGAGACAAAATGTACATCGAAGATGTTAGCATAGGGAGCGAATACAATTTTTGAACTAAATTCTTTGTTTGGACGGAAGTTCAAACTTTCTTCAGAGATGTAGAAAGTCTTTAGTGCTGAACCACTAAATCTTAGAACTTGTGAGGACGAGATTCCGGAGGTGGTGAATTCTTGCCCAGATGAGTCATATTCAATTGGCGAGATGCAAGGAACCTGTCTAATTAATGCCCGCTGAATCAGGTTTTTTTTGGGTGCACAATTCATCTGTGGTAGCAGCCATTTAGGGGTTCAAGGGTTAGAGGGAAGGAGTCACTACACCCCTGTGTATTTCTTTTTGAAGAACATGGAACAAAAATAACCTTTGTTGTCACCTCACATCCATCCATGGATGAAGTCTCACATAGATAGATGTACACGTCAGACTACATGTTTTATTTTACATTAGCATCTATAAACATTGTCCTTTCTTGCTTTTGATCAAGTTATTTATTGCCTATGATACAATAGCATCTATCTGCTTCCCTCAACTTCTTCTCTTTGATAGATGTTATTTATTGCCTATGATACAATAGCATCTATCCACTTCCAAATAAACCATGTTGGACCTAAGAACTACAAACATTGGACCATAAAAATACAAAGTGTTTTTGAAAAGAAAAATCTTTAATATCTTATTGAATCCAAAAATAACTCTCCTATAAACAACCTCAATAAAAACAAATAGACGAGAGAAGAAGGAAAAGACATCTTTGTTATATCAAGAGCATTTGATGTTGCCCCAAACAAAAGAGAAGAATAATGGTATTTTTATGACTCTCCCTTCTTCCAAATCTATGCCACATCATCCTCAACATTCAAGATTCCAAAACAACATAGAATCACTTCAAGAACATATTTCTAACTAACACCAATTTTGACATTATGGTTGTATTGAATTGATAGGAATACCTAAGAATGATCAAATAATAAGATGTTTACTCTTTTATGTAACATGTTATTAGGAATCTGAAAGCCATAAATTTGATGCAACCTTTAGTAGTCATAGTTCACAAAATTCTAAATTAATTAGGAAAATGCTTTAAAAAGCTAATAATTCATATACAAAATAAAAAGTTTTTACCAAAAATAAAAGAATTGTGGAGTTATTTGCATATGGAAGAAATTAATGAGACTCTCAAAAAGTCACAAGAATCCATTGATAAAGCCCTTATCATGCAAAACTAGAATATATATGACAACAAACTTCAATAATAATACATGCATCACTAAGGCTAAAATCAAGGTGGAATAGGTCGCCTTCAAAAACCTTGCTATCACCAACAAAAGAAATTACAAGGATCCATAATCTATCCTCAATGTGGCAAAGAAGGGCATATTTCAAATGTCCATCAAGTACTTGCCAATATGATCCTTCTATACAAATATACAAATACTTGCTATAATTTTGGAGATTCTAGTACTTTTTCTTCTACATCAACAACACTAAAAAACTATAGTGTTAGTATTACAAAAAAATATTATGGAGATACTACCACATTTGTTCTACTAAATGATGAAAACATCTTAAAAGGTCTTGAACCACTAGGATTCAATAATAAGGATGACAATGAATGGATCTTAAATTCTAATGCCTCAAAGCACTTTATTGAAGATTAATTTGTCTTTGATAAAATAGATCTGTCTTTTAGTAATTCAATAATCTTAATTAGAAGTAATATGTATGTAATTATAAGACTATATTCAATAAACTTTTCTATGCCTATTAGAGATTTGCTATGGCTTTGATCTATAAAAGAACATGCTATCTATTAGAAAAATCATAGATATTGAAAACTTCTACATTTTTGGACCTAAATAATGTATTGTTATCTTTGTCAATAAGCCACATAGAATCATAGGCAAGGAAAGATAAGATCTTGATAATGGATTGTATGAATCATTACAACTTATTATATATAATTTTGATACTAACATTAGAATTTAAAAAATAGTTTCACCTAAGCAAGCTACATTTTTTTTTAGTTTAGCAACATTTCTAACAAACAATTCTACTGATTCCCTTACCTCCTTCTAGCCTTTATAATAAAGAAACTAAAAATATAAGAGCCTCAAACATCTTGAAAATAATAACCTTGTCATAATACTTCCTTCTTTTTTTTATAAAAATTTAAACATGCAATCATTATTATCAAGATTAATAGATTAGAAATTAAATTCTTAAGGTAACATCAAGTAGAGCCATAAAACCTTTGCAAATTATACATAATAATTTATGTAAGCTTCTATTGGTTAAATTCATAGCTCACTTTTGTTATTTTATTGTGTTCATTAATGACTTTTTTAGAAAATCTTGGATTTGTTTTATAATCACAAAGGACCAATTTCTTGAAATGTTTAAAAAATTTCACATGATAGTTGAGAAATAAACCTCTAATCAAATCTTGTCACTCCATTTTGACAAAAGAAGAGAGTACATATAGTAAGAGTTCACAAACTACATGTAAGACTATGGAATCATGAGTCAATTAATTGTTGCTTGCACATGCCAACAGAATAAAGTATTAGAAAGAAAGAACAAAACTATCTTTAATAAGGTGCAAACAATGTTGATAAGTGAGAACATATCTTTATTTCTCTAGATTAAAGTTGTATACATCTCTATTCAACTCACTAATTATAATTCTATCAAAGCAAACAATTAAATGTTTCTTGACTACATTTTTTACAAAAAAAAATTAGATTTTAATTCAATCAAAATCTTTAGATGTTTTTGTTTTAAAAGAAAATGAAATACACTCTATCTATAACAATAAAACTTGGATTCTTATTTCACTCTTATCTTGTAAATAAACTATTTCTATAAAATGGATATTTAAAGCCAAGTTAAAATCCCATAGTATCCTACAAAAAAAATTATCTTCATAGAAACATGACCAAACTATCTCAAAAATCCAAGATCCTTCTAATTCATAGCAACATAAAGCGTCATCACAAAATAGGACAAAACACACCGGAACAAAACTAAATGGAACTAAACAAAGTAAGACATGAAAGAAAAACTAAGCAAATAAAAATAAAATAGAACAGAATTGAATAGAATGATACAAAATCAAATTTTACTAAGAGAAAGGATTCAAAGCCATACTTAACTAGATGCCCCAAAAGACCCGAGCCAATCCTATTTATACCTTATTCTATCATCTTGGACTTTCTAGAATGTTCCTAAGTGATAGGTCCCACTTAAATAACTTCCTTAAATTTCTTTTCTAGAAGGTTTTATAATACACTCCACATAAATAACTGCCCTAAATTCTTTCTAGAATTTTCTATTGTGGATCCTATTTGGTCAACTAACCTAACTCCAATTCTAAAAACTTCTATGGCTTTAACTATTTATATAATTATCTTATCTATACCTTGTTACAATCAATCTCCCTCCACTATTGTGGAATGTCCTTGTTTTGATTTCAATGGTATCTCTCAATTGTTTATTAGCAATATGTGAGATTTTGTGCACCTTCTTATGTTGCATCGTGAATGGGATAACCTTTGTATTGAAGTTGTGGATGTCCACTGCCATGACGAAGGTAGCAATGCTCTAAAATGCTATCTACTTCATATTCTTATTAGTCATCAACTACAACTGGTAGTAGTGGTGGTTAGTGTTGACCCAAAAAGTGCTTTGGCTCAGTATGTAATTCCTTCAATTGCAAAATATGGAAGATTAGACCAAATATTTGGTAAAAGCTCGAGGTGGTATGTGACGTCAGAAATCACTGTAGAAATATAGAAAGATCCAAGTTACTGAGGTGTTAGTTTATAGATTTGGATACATATAGCAAGTAGTAAGTTGGCATTGAAGAATAACACCTAATCACCCTCCTAAAAGGTCTTGTATTATCAATGGTTATCTACATACTACTTTTGTCAATTATATACTATAAAGAGGTAATGTCATGCTTCTTGTAAGGCTATTATAAGCCATTGTATAAATTCTTTTGTTGTTGGATTATTGGTGTTGATGAGATGATAGAGAGTTTTTGTCGTAATTGAATATTGACTAGTATTAAAGAAAAATGGTGAATAATTGATACTTGCTTGAATATTATCATTGTAAGAAAACTCTAAGGACATCAAATATTCATCCCAATCATTATGATGAACTGCCACATATGCTTGCAACATATCCTCTAAGGTCCGATTTGTATGCTCTATTTGTCCATTTGTTTTAGGATGGAAGGTTGTAGAGATGGTAAGTCATGTACTTAGTAGCTTGAACAAGGCTTGTCAAAAACTTTTCATGAAGCATAGACCTCGATTTAAAATGATGACATAAGATAATCCATGGTGACAAAAGATAATATCAAAGAAGACTCGTGCAAGCATTGAGGCATTAATATCCAAGCGCACTATAACAAAGTTAAGTTGTTTCAAGAATTGATCTAGAAAGACATCAACCGCAATATAATTATCAGGCATCTGCGGTAAATACGTAATGAGATCCATAGTCATTTGCTCTCAACTTGTTGTAGGTAGTGGAATTGGCTATAATAGTCTAGAAGATACTACATTACATGCTTTATTATATTGATATGACTCGTAAGAACATATAAAGGTTCAAACATCACAATCCAAACCTGCCCAAAATCATGTCCTTGAGATCTGTTCTAAAGTCTTCTCTTATTTCAAATGTCTAAATATTGGAATATCATGTCCTTCCTAAAGTATGTATGTTCGGTACATAAATTTGCTTCTTGAAATAAAGCAAACTATTATTAAGAGTGTAATCCTGATATTGTATATTATCCACTTTCAGCTGATTATCAACCATCTTGAAATAAACATCTCAATGCGTAGCTTCTTTTCATTTTGCCTCTTTGATTAGATCTAAAATGAAACTACTAATGGTAGCAACTTCTGCCTTGTCTTCCAATTCATCCCTCAAGTCTGGTCTTTGCGATAAGCTATCTAGTACAATATGTTGTCATTCTTGCTTATACTCAAGCTAGATATAAAAAATTTGCATCTGTTCTTTCCAATGATGATGCCATGATTTCATATTTTTTAGATACAAATCGTGTAGCAATGGTCGATGGTCAGTCCAAACAACCATTGACTTCTCCAATAGATAGTGCCACCACACTTTTGTGGTATATACAATTGCTAATTATTCTTGATCACTTACAGAGTAATTGCGCTTTGTCCTTTTGAGCTTCTGTGATTCATATGCCTTAGGTTGAAGGTTTCTATCAAAATCTTATTGAAGAATTGATCTAATAGCAAAGTTGGAAGCATTAATATCAAGCATATAAGAAAGATTATGATCATACAATTGTAATATTGGAGCACTAATGAGTGCCTCCTTCAACT